GATAATGCGCCTAGCATATTTCTAAGCATTTGCACAATATAAGCCCTACACAGAAAGTAAGACCTAGTGATGGGCGTGGCTGCTCAGCATATCTGCACAACCCATGCATTTCATTGCTGAGCAGTAAAGGAGACAAGCAGCCCTTCCCATCCACCCCATGAGAGCTCTATTGCTCGACATGAGAGATTGGGGCTGATGGTTCTAAAGGAAATAGAGTTGCAAGAAATTCAGGATGGAATTCAGGGTTTGGAGACTTATGATGATGTTCCAGAGGAAGACGGACTTAACTATATTTGAATAAATGTAGATTGTTGTAGGTACTTAAAAAAAAAAACACATCCCCTGAAAATAAGCCCTAGGGTGTCTTGTTGAGGAAAAATACATATAAGACCCTGTCTTATTTTCGGGTAAACATGGTATTAGAATAGAATAATTATAACAATATGCTATAATAAAAGTTTTGTAAATGTTGTCTTGCTCTCTCTCAAAATATTTCTACTGTACTTCAGGTAACTGAAACCCCAGAAAGCAAAACCCTGAATGTGGGGGAGTACTACTGTACAATGTATGTTGTAGAGAAAGCTTCTAGTTTACAACTTTTAGTCTGCAGAATTATTGGAAAACCATGCTATCTCTGAAATTACTCAAGAATTCACTGCAAATAATTCCATAATATTCATTGTAGAAAAAAAGTGCAATATATGAGTAAAGATTCAAATAAAAAAGATTTGAATTTTATTGTATGTGTATTCCAAACTTTTATTTTCTTCCCAGTGGAACTTTTTTTTTTTTTTTTTTTTTTTTTGAGACAGAGTCTCGCTTGTTGCCCAGGCTAGAGTGAGTGCCGTGGCGTCAGCCTAGCTCACAGCAACCTCAAACTCCTGCTCAAGCAATCCTTCTTTGTAATATTTATTTGTCTTTTGTAGTTAGTATTAACTTTTTCGGGCGTTAATAAGAAACAAGTTTTCCTCTCTCTTCATGGATTTATAGACTCACTTGTTTTGAATTAAAATTGAGAGGCATACAATAAACTTGGGACTTAAGGCCAGAATAGCACTTGCCTCCACTGTTAGCTGGGGTTAGCCATGGTACAAGGAGGAATAACAGCTGAGTACCTACTATGTGCCAGCGCCAGGCTAGTTCTTTTATTTAATCTTCCAGTACATCTGTGAGGTAAGTACTATAGTACCGAATTTTACTATGGAGCAAACTGACAGAGAAGGTCTACATGCCCCTGAGCTGGCAGGTGGGCCAAGCTGGAGCCTAGGTTTTAACCAGCTCACCCTTCTTTGCGATCCGTGTGTCTGCAGTGAGATGAGTCACACCAGTTTCACAATCTGAAGGAGTCAGCTCCTCTGGCCACTGCAGGAGTCAAGTTCGACAACGGAAAACCCCCAACCTGAGCGGGGGATAGGCTATAAGCTAAACTCCTGCACCATTGCCCTAGCACTCCCTGAGCTAAAGTGCAAGCGTTTGATCAGTAACCACTATATGAAAGCCCCTAGAAATACACATTTCAGATGAAGCATAATAGCCTCAGAGAGTGGATTCAGTTTTTCCAAATGTCAAATATAATTACTAGATATACCTTGTGATTGATTGGGAGGATCTGGCTCAATCCAGATATCACAGAGAGCCCAAAAGAAGTTACTGCATGCAATCCAAAAATTCAATAGGAGAAGTATGCGCTCTTTGAAAATTGCTTTTCCAAAATGATTTTTAACATTTCTTTTTAAATGTCTTAGTAAGGTGTGTTGGTTTCCTGTCTTCCAGGCGTGGATGCTGCAGTTCGTAACGCCGCAGGGTCAGTGAAGCCGACTGTCAGTATTAGTAGCCAAGGCACAAAGGGGACATCCACAATGAAAGTTCTCAAGAACACCTGAGATCTCCTCAAGCTACGGCGGAAGAATTGACGCAAACCACGCATACACCGAAAGTGAAGGTCCAAAAGAACATCTTCGGAAAAAACACTAGAAGGCGGTTTAGCATGGTTTTCACCCAATGTAATTGACTTATACCCCACGTCATCTGCGGCTCC